CAGAGAGGTGAGCACAGAGAGGTGAGCATGAATGGACATCAGAAACAGAGAAAGGTGAGCATGAATGGACATCAGAAACACAGAGAGATGAGCAGGAATGGACATCAGAAACAGAGAAGTGACCATGAATGAACATCAGAAGCAGCACAAGGCTCCGTCTTCCCCATTTGTTGAACAAGGAAAGCATATAGGCAGGCCTCCCCAGGAACAGAAGAGGAAGATTTTATGTGTGACAATTGCCACCACAGTGCTTTATAGAAGACAAATGGCACTGGTCTGTGGAAAGGATGCGGATTGTTTCCCTAGAATGGTAGGCATCACTTTGTATAAGGTGGAAGTAACCATGGCATTTCCTCCACAGTGGGCACCACTGCCATCACCTTCTCCTGTGAGGGACTGCTCTCCAGAGTGTGGACAGTAAACTCCAACTCTACCAACTTCATCCCAGAAAAAGAAAAAGAAGCAGGAAAGAGAAGTTCCTGGAAATGGGCAACTAGTTCAGGATTTTGTTTTAAAGTTAAAAAAAAAAAAAAAGAAAATACTTGAGGAAATAGTATAAATATCAAATGTGTCTTAAAATATAATTTTTAATTCTAATTTTATTTTGAATGTACGTATGCTTTGCCTGCACGTGTGTCTGTGCACCAGGTGTGCAGTGCCCAAGGAGGTCAGAAAAGGGTGTGGATCCCCTGGGACTGGAGTTACAGACCATTGTGAGCTGCCATGTGGGTGCTGGAAACTGAATCTGGATCCTCTAGAGGAGCAGCCAGTGCTCTTAACCACTGAGCCATCTTTCTAGCTCCAGAAGCAAATGGAAGTTTTACAGAGGAAGGCAAGAAAGCTCTTTTCTGTATATCTGTTCAGTAAGTCAGGGATTCCAGCAAAATGTAAGAGAAGTAACTTTCATTGTACAATTGTAGCCAACTCTAATTTGTTGAACACTAGAAAAACAAAAACTGGTGGCAGTGAGTGGTAGCAGCGGTAATAAGGACAGGTGACAGCTATGGAGCATTGTATCTGGGTTCTGAGCACAGAAACCTAGCTATAACACACACACAACACAAACACTTGTGATTCTTTTTTTTTTTTGGTTTTTCGAGGCAGGGTTTCTCTGTGTATCCCTGGCTGTCCTGGAGCTCACTCTGTAGACCAGGCTGGCCTCGAACTCAGAAATCCACCTGCCTCTGCCTCCCAAGTGCTGGGATTAAAGGCGTGCGCCACCACTGCCCGGCAACACTTGTGATTCTTAAGAACACCCCAACTCTGCTTCAGTTCTCACTCACCAGCTGACGCTTTGAGGCCGGATGACGATCTTTCGGTAGGCCCCCGATAGGGAGTAATCTCGAATCGTGTGTCTCATGTTGTCAATATCAAGGTTGTCTGCGGCAAGCATTTCCCTGTAGGCCTCCCTAACTAATGCAAAACACAGTTAACTGGAACGAAGTCTGTCAGCAGGTTACCTTGAACTGTCATTTAACTAACACCACTAGAAACAATCATTACCAGGCAAGTCTGGTCAGACTGCCCCAACAAAGTCAGTTAACTCTAGCAATGTAACCGGGCCTACAAGTTTTACTTCAGTTACCCTGTAGTTTAATGTATGTACTCAGCTACAGGATTGTGGCATAAAGTTTCCAAGCTAACTTCAAAAGGCCACATGGACTTTCTAAGTACAATTTACACACAGTGACTCTAAATGTTTAGAAATAGGAGACTCAGGCAACCACCTGGTCGGTCACCTTAGCCCTCAGGAGAGTTTTCTAATATCCCCTTACACTTCATCTGTGAGGAGCTATTATGTGAGGCACATATTAGAAGGTTCTTCCTACTGCAAACAGGTTTGTTTTCCTGTGTGCTCCCTTGACTTCTCTGGAACGTGGTAGATTAGCTGTCTTCCACATCACAAGCACTGGAACTGTCAGGCATTTCATTTGACTCTGGTTCCTTCAATGTCCTTCCTTCGACATTTTCCTTTTGCCCCAGGCTAAGAGGTTTCAACAGTAACTCCTGACTCCTTATTTTTGTTGTTGTTTTACAAATTATTTATTTAATTGTTAGAGAGACGGTTTCTCTGTGTAGTCTTGGCTATCCTGGAACTAGCTCTGTAGACCAGGCTAGCCTCAAACTAAGATCCACCTGCCTTTGCCTCCCAAGCCATGGACCACCACAGCTAGCTCAGAGTGAATGTGTGTGTGTGTTTGTAAGAGAGTCGTTCTGTACGTGGGCACAGGGCACATGCGGACATGAAAGGACTGCACTGTGGTGGTGGTATTTTCCTTGACTTCACATGAGTACTAGGGATTAACACAGGTTACCAGATTTGCTCTGTCATACAGCAAGTGCCTTTACTCATCTTGCTGGCCCTTAATATTTTTTTTCTTTTTTAGAGACAATGTGTATCCCTAATAGGTCTCAAACTTACATGGACAGGCTGGCCTCAAACTCAGTGTTCCTCCTCCCTACGCCTCCTGAGTGTTAGGATTAAAGGTGCGAGCTGCCACACACAGCCTTCTTGGCCCTTAATTGTTTCTAAACTACCATCAAACTAAATTTGTTTTCATGATTTAAAAGCATTTTTCATCTTCATTTATGGAAATGTTTGTGTATCTGTGTGTATGTGTATGTGCGTGCATGTGGGTGCCTATGGAGGACAGAAGGCAATGGATCCTCTGAGGGTTGAGTTGCAGGTAACTGTGTCCCACCTGGTGTGGGTGCTGAGAACTGAACTTAGGTTGTCTGGAAGATGAACACGCTCTCTTGATGCTAAGACGATCTCTCTCTAGGATGCTGCTGTGGAGCTTAGGAGCCTCTAGTGAATACCCTTCTTGCCTCAGCTCCCCCAGTGCGCTACTGTCTGAAGATCTGACTGCTGGACCTGACTACGAGGATTTACATTCCATGATTTCTGTGACTCTTACTTTTCCTATTACTAACATTAACTTCATCCTATACTATTTACAAGTATGACAAGACGCAGAAATACAGTCAACTCATTGCTTTACTCAAGTTAGCTGTTAGAATGTTGGAAGTACACGGACAAGGGAAAAAGACAGCCTCGCCACACCCCAAGGAACTTCTCGGTACTAGATGCACCCACATTACAGGTCCAAATGCTTAACTACCTCTAGTAGGGTGTGTCCCGTCCATGACTACAGGGTTTCATGAATGGCTTTGTCAAGGGTTCTTCTAAATTTACTTTCTTGTTAGAACCAGCCAAGTTCCAGGTACTGAGAGGAATAAGAAAGAAGAGGGAGGAACAGTCTTTTCTTTTTTGTGATGACTGGCTTGGGGTATCAGCTTGATTAATGGACACTTGGTGTACCAATTAGTTTTGTTACCTTGATACAAACGATTGTCACCTGGGAGAAGTGAAGCTTAACTAAGAAATTGTTTCCATCAAACTGGTCTTCGGCAAGACTGTGGTGCATTTTTCCTGACTGCTGGTTAATGTAGGAAGGTCTAGCCCACTGTGGGTGGTGCCACCCCTGGACCTGGGTCCTGGGTTGTCTAAGGAAGGTAGCTGAGCAAGCCAGAGGAAGCAATCCAGTAAGCAGTTTTCCTCCAGCTCCTGCATCTGTCCTTGCTTGCGTTCCTGTCTAGACTTCCCTCAATGATTGAGTGTGTTTTTTTTTGTTTGTTTGTTTTTCTGCTGTGGACATGCCCTGAACAGAGCAGAAAGGCAAAAGAAAGGCTGATGGGCTCACTCTTCCCAGACCTCAGATACCATTTTTCTCCTGCTCCTGGACTTCACGACTTGTACCAGTAGACCTTAGGCTCTTAAGCCCTTGACTTGACAGATCAATGGCTTCTCTGGTTCTCTTTCTCTAGCACACAGCATGGGACTTGTCAGTGGCTATAATCAAGTAAGTCAATGCCTGTCACAAATGACCTCTCCTATCTCTATTTATGCTATCTGTTTCAGGAGGATCTTGATGAAAACAAAGGCTTACTTTCCCCCACTCTTCTTAAAGCATGAGGACAATTTTATCAGAGTTTTAAAGAAAAACTCCGAAGGCAAGCTGTATAGATCTCAGCAGCCATCCAGAGGAGGAAGGAGGCGGAGTGCAAGAAGAGAGAAGGCCATGCCATTTGAGTTAGGCATGGAGGTCAGTCACATGGCAAAAGGGAGGGAGAGGAGCCTTCAGAGACAGAGTAAGGAAGCCCAAAGTACCAGACAAGCCATACTTGTGCTCTGGCCTGCATCAGACAGAAAATGGAAACAAACTCCTCAGGAACTGGCAAAATCAATGGATCCTCATGGCAGCTGTGGCAACCATCAGCCTGAGCATCTTATAGTCTCTCCTTGGTCGCTTCTAAGGGAAGCAGACAGTCTCTGTCTACCTTCCTCATCCTCTCTGGCTGCCATCCACTGCCTTCTCTTCAGTGAAGTCAGCCAGTACAGGCACCGGAAGTAAAGCCACATGGATGAGTTACTCTGTAACCCTGTTGAGAGGTATCCCATCACCCAAGAAGGACTTCAGCCCTAATCATTTCTAACTTACAACATTTCAAGGACTGTAACATTAGTAAGCAGAATTCTGATCCTTTGACCAAGAAAAATACATTGTCCACAGGCCAGTACTGGACAATAATGATGGGGAATAAATGTTGGGTTAGTTCTTCCAAACCACTCAGAGCTGCTTTTTTCCTGCCTCTGAATCCCGAACCACAGAAGCTGCAAGTCCTCTCTCTATCACTGAGGGCATCCACAAAGGTGACAAAGATGATAAAGGTGACAGTAATGCCAAAATGTCTAGAGAATGGGACGTAGTGGAGCATATAGTAACTTTTCATTTCCTCATCTCAGACTGGCATCCAACGGACAGGATAAACCCATTTTCCAGTCTGAGCACCCGAGATCACAGGCCCATGACACTGCAGAGGGGCAGATTCTAATTTAAGTACTCTCCTGAATATATTCCTTCCTGGAAGACTTTCACCATAAAAAATGTATCTGAACAATATATATTTAATATATTTAACGTTTTACACACACACACACACACACACACACACACACACATTTTTTTTTTAATTTTTTTAGACAGGAACTCTCTAGGTAGCCCTGACTGGCCTCAGTTTATAAACCAGGCTATCCTCGAAATCAGAGAAAATGTGCTAGAAAGAAAGCTTCAAGTGCTGGTTCCCCTCTACTTTCAATCTTGGCTACTGTTGGCTCAATCACATTACACTCATCTTAACGATTTGGCCCAAACATGAAACTTACTTTTATGTTTGGGGTAGATAACATCAAAACCAGGCAAAGGCATCACCACGTCATGAATGGAGTAGTTATTAACATCTTCATCCTCGATATAGGTGGCTGTGGCTGCAAATCCACAAGTAAGCAGCAGGTTAAGAACAGACAGCTCTCATGAATTCAGGTTCCTAAAAACTATACATATCCAGGTGAGCTGAAGTACCAAGTGTCCAGCTGCAGACGA